GCAGCGGTGGTACACACCTTTGATCCCAGCACTCAGGAGTCAGAACTAGGCCGATCTCTGTGAGTTTGAGGCCAGCCTGGTCTACAGAGCAAGATCCAGGACAGGCACCAAAACTGCACAGAGAAACTTTGTCTCAAAAAACAAAAACAAAACAAAACAGAAACCCTAGAAATTCCATATATTATTACATCATTAAAAAAGAGTATTCATTCACTAGCCATGTACTGGGTATCTAGGGTAAGCACTACGTTGTTGTAGGTACTGGGAACAGGGTGTTCACGTCTTCTTCCTTGTGGGGTTTCTGTTTAGCAGATGAGACAGGCAGTATGCTGTAAACGTGAGCACGCACACACTTTCAGAGAGTGAAGCCCAGCACTGGCTTGGGTGGTCTGAGTGGGTTTCCCCGGGGAGTATGGCTTTTCACTTGTGATCTATAGAATGACAAGAGGCCAGTCCTTGAAAAGTCCACCCCAGAAGTTTCCCTGGCCAAGAGCAAAATCAAAATCACAAAGACCCTGCCTGAGTTCAGAAAAAGCTTGGCAGGATCCAAGAACAGGGTGTTGTGAGCCTGTAATGGGAAAGGAGGTGTGAGTAAATGGGGCTTTATCCCACAGAGGCAGTTAGGTGGGTCCAAACTGCAAGCCTTGTAGAACTTGTAAGGAATCAGGTTTCTCTCGGAGTGTAAAAGGCAGTGCTGTGGGGTTTTAAGCAGGGCAGCGGCGTGATTTACGATTTCTTAGGGGGACCTTGTTTGCTCTGGAGAAAGGGGCTATTAAAAACCAAGGAAGAAAAGCTGAGCGCCATGAACTTAATGTAACAGACCAGGTGAGAGATGACGGTCATTTTCAGTAGAGATGGGGAGGTGGGATACATGGTGCTCATGGTGCTCGCTGCAGGCGGAGTTCAGGAACAGATCCAAGGAAGTGCTGGGGCAGACAGTGTGGACTGATTTGGGAACGGACGAGGAGTGGGAAGTAATCGCTCTTAATGCAGAATGAACATGAGTCGGCATGGAGACTGATATCTTGAACACCCACCCCATCTCCATTTTGTTCTGTAGCCTGCATTAAAAGTTACTGTACATAGTCATGGTTATAGGGAAATGAGCTCTTGGCAAAAAAATAAATAAATAAATAAAAATATAGCCCAGGCATGCTCACAGTGTCTGCCTCTCACAGTGGGCGCAGTGAATGAGAAGAAATCTGTCACGCAGATGACAGAAACGGACCTTCATGCAGAAGGAGAGGCACCAACTAGTTGCTTTGCTAATTGGCATCAGTGTCGAGAAGTCTTTTGTAGTCTATGCAGAATCACCAAGTATTCCAACCTACATCGAAAGCAATTACATTTAGTGTCTCTGCGTCTTGGTCCTCTGAGAAGTTTTTGTTATGAGAGGACACTTTTTGAAGGTGTTAACTTCCTAAGTGGTGTGTAAACTCCAGAGGTCTCCGAATCTGCTTTGGTTTTTCCCTTTGGTGGCAGACCCCACCCTCCTTTCCCCTGGCTGTTAAAGTCACTCCAGGAGACGTGGAGGTCCCAGGGGACTAGAGTAGCCACTCTGCCAGAAAGCAAGCCAGCTTCAGACCTCTCAAGTCAGTCAGAAAGAGTCTGAAGGCCTCTGGCTGTGCTCCACTGCTCAGGTGGGAGGGAAGGGTTAATACAGGGAGTGCCCATCCCCCACCCATGCTTTGCCCTATCAGCGGAAGTTCTTCTCTTGTGCATCAGACGTTTGAATAAGATTTTGTTAGAAAAATGTGTATATCCTTTAAAAAGAAAGCGTAAATACGCTGTTGTGTACTTGCCCACTCACATAATCCCAACACACAATTCTTCAGTGTGAACTGAGCACCTCCCCACACGGTGCACAAAACCAGCTTTCTTAGTAACAGCTGTAAATCCCATGTGTCCATTTCCAACTGCTGCTCCTTCACCAGATAGTATGAAAATTTTTCGGAGGGTTCTGCTTCAGGAGAGTTCCAGAGTTTGTAGGACCTATCTTTGATGTGTTCCTAGTTTCCGCTGATTTTTTTTTCCTAATCTCCTTGGACCTTTTCTGAATTTGAATTTGACCCACTAGCAGTATCAGTTACTCCTCTCATATCCACCTGAAGCCGTAACAGAGCTGATGGGGTCCCCCGAGTGATGCAGTCGGGGAGCGGGGCACTGAACTGAACTGGGCTCCAGCAGGGGGTACAAGCCCCAGGTCTTGGCCACTGGATTTCTGCTGCTCTGTCTCATACACCAGCTGGACTTATTCCAACACTCAGGGAACTCCAGCTCTGCTGCCTAATTTCATTCATTACGGCATTTCAAAGTTGGGATCAAGTTCTTTCCTTAGGGTCCTCTGTACCTGTCTACAACCTAGGAGATGTATCTAAGCACAGCTCTAAGTGCCCTGACAGCAGGGGCGCTGAGCTGCCTCAGAGCACCCAGACATCTTCTGGAGAGAATATTGATTAAAGTTGCAGGCGGACTGGATCCTTCTCTTTGGCCAGCTGTGTTAGCTTATTATATGAGAAAGCATGCCTAAGAAACAATAAAACAAAACAAAAGGGGGGGGCTGCAGAGATGGCACAGCCATTAAGACCATATATTGGTCTTCCAGAGGATCTGAGTTCAGTTTCCAGCGCCTACATTGGGTGGCCTGTAACTCCAGTTCCAGGGATTCAGTGCCCTCTTCTGGCCTCTGTGGGCATTGCACTCACGTGCATGCACACACATGCACATGTTATGTACATTTTTGTACATAAAATAAAATTTAAAAAAAGAAAAATGAGTTTTATGTAAACATGATCAGTAAAGAAAACCTACTCTGCTGATTGTTTTCATCCTTTTTATAGAACTTCTCTTATAGTAAAATCTTACGGAACCCCTAAGTATAACTCAGGTGGCACTTGGGTATCGGGAGCAGACACCTTACCCCTCTGCTCTCCTAGTCTCTTCCTCTTCTGAGGCTACCCCCACCCCAGAAGTGTCTAGGAAATTCTGGGAATCCTTGGGAGCCAGCTGGACCGTCTTCAAACTGTAAAGATTTCAGAAATAGAGAGAGATGTTTGTGTTACTGGCTGATACTTAATGAATCCACGCCTCTTGCCTTCAACACTAGGTTTTCAGCCTCCCTTATAGCAGGTAAATACGTACAGAAGGTCATGGTCTCTATTCCACTACAAGCTGCCCTGTCTTCTTCCAGGTGATCATCTGCAGGGCTACCACACCACATCTTGGTGAGGTTCACACCTGCTTTATCCAGTCGCTAAATTCCTCCCGCAGCTCACTGCTCCTCATTCGATGAAAGCCTTGAGCACTTAGCTGTGGCCTCATGGTTGCCCCTACAGAGCTGTACCCCTTCTTTACAGCTTCCCAGAAAAACACTTGCTTGTAGCTCCCGTCACCCCCCCCCCCCGCCCCAATTCATCTTCATCTCCTTGCCACCAGCCACCTTCCTGCCCCTTGACACCAGATTCCGATCTCAAAGCCTTAGAGAAGCCCTCTGGTCCCCTGCTCCTGAGTCCTTCTGTCACTGTATACCACTGTCAGGTGTATATATACACATGTTATATACCACTATATACCACTGTCAGGTATATACACAGTCTATGTTATATACCACTGTCAGGTGTATATATATATATGTTATATACTATGTTATATACCACTATATACCACTGTCAGGTATATACACATTCTATGTTATATACCACTGTCAGGTGTATATATATATATATATATATATATATATATATATATATATATATATATAATATACTATGTTATATACCACTATATACCACTGTCAGGTATATATATATACACATGTTATATACCACTATATACCACTGTCAGGTATATACACATTCTATGTTATATACCACTGTCAGGTGTATATATATATATATGTTATATACTATGTTATATACCACTATATACCACTGTCAGGTATATATATATATACACATGTTATATACCACTATATACCACTGTCAGGTATATACACATTCTATGTTATATACCACTGTCAGGTGTATATATATATATGTTATATACTATGTTATATACCACTATATACCACTGTCAGGTATATATATATATATATATATATATATATATATATATACACATGTTATATACCACTATACACCACTGTCAGGTATATACACATTCTATGTTATATACCACTGTCAGGTATATATATATATATGTTATATACTATGTTATATACCACTATATACCACTGTCAGGTATATACACATTCTATGTTATATACCACTGTCAGGTGTATATATATATATGTTATATACTATGTTATATACCACTATATACCACTGTCAGGTATATCTACTGCTGTCCTGCATCCTCCTCTAAGCCTACTGTTCCATCATCTGCTGTGCACCCGCCACGTAACACCGTGACCTTGACCGCTGGCTGTGTCTGTCTCCTCCACTTAAATAAAGCTGCTCAGAGGCAAAGTCAGTTGTGGAAGGGATGCCTCTCTTTCTGCGTGACCCCCAATTCCTCTGGCAGATGCCTGCCACATAAAGACCCTCAACATTTGAATGAACGAATCACCATTACTCACCACAAATTCATTTTTTTTTGAAGTGTGAACAGTGGTTGTTTCCATAAATCATCTCCATGCTAATAAAAGCAGAAATGATTTTTTCAAAGCCTCATTTGTTACAAGACGTTAGTCCCCTCACTCTTCAAATGAGATCTCAGGTTTTTTAAGGAGAATTTTGCTTGTTGAGATTATCGGAGCTTCCACTGTGCGTGGAAGTCTTTTACCCCCGGAGTGGAATCCGCTGTGATCTCAACAAGTTTCAGTGTTCCAAGCGGGTTGACTTCATAATGCGAGCAATAGAGGATGATCCTGAGGGGGCGTGACTGGTGAAGGCGTGAGTGTGTGTGTGTGTGTGTGTGTGTGTGTGTGTGTGTGTGTGTGTGTGTAATGAATGGTGGGGTGTCTTAATGAACCCGCTCACTTGACAATTGTCTCCCCACAGGTGATGTGTCACCAATCAGTATGTCCCCCATCAGTCAATCTCAGTTTATTCCACTCGGGGAAATCCTTTGCTTGGCCATCTCGGCGATGAACTCTGCAAGAAAGCCTGTCACCCAAGAAGCGTTGATGGAACACCTGACGACATGTTTCCCAGGTAATGAGGAAGAATAGTGCTCTTTCCAAACGGATGTGGGCTGTGGATGTGGGGCGTGGGCTCCAGGGCTTTAAAGGAACACTAAGGCAAAAAAAAAAAAAATCTTCACTCAAACTGACCAAACCTTTTCTTTTTTTAACTTAAAATAATAGCAATAACAATGTCACTCCTTTAGGCACAGTACTTTTTATTTTATTCTTATTTATTTTTATTTTTTGATATAATACTTTTTAACTTGATGCTTAGGAGGAAAAAAAAATGAGCCAACACCATAAGAAATTGGCAAAGATGACCAAGATGCTGCTCATCCATTGCAGTTCAGTCTTCCTTAAATAGATAAACCTGAGGTTCATCAGAAACATCTGGAACATTTAGTCCCAAGAGTTCAACTACAGAAATCATGTCTAAAATGAATATGCCCTGCATGTTTGCTGTATGCTCTGATGAGCCTTAATAAAATGTTCCTTCAGGAATTGAGATTTCATTTTTAAAAGGAAAAAAAATTTTTTTTTCTTAACTATTACAAAACAAAGACAGTAGGTATAGGTGCAGTGTGAACGGTTGTTGATGGTCCCAGCAGACCGAGTTGTTTGGCGTGGTATATACTACACATGCATGCTCCATTTCAAGGGAGGTACCTCATTATTCCCATCCAGTGTGGTGCCCCCTGCCAGGGAGGCCAAGTCTAATGTTACAAGAGAATTTCAAAATCCCGTTTACCGTGAAATCTCTAAATTTCCTTAGGTACAGGCGGGGTTCTATGCGTGCACATTTTAACATGTATGAATAGATGGGCAGTGTGCACCTTACTGGGCTGCCGGTTTGCCACTTGCTGAATACCGTGCCCCTTTCTAGACTGCAATAGAAATCGCATTAAAAATAAACACGTGATTACCTGATGTTCATTCAGCTTTCAAAGAGACTTTAGTCGTCTAAGCTGTTGGCTGAATCAGCTTCTGCTGCAGAAATCCTGGGTGATAAGCAACCAGACAGACAGAGAGATGCAACAAAACCTTTTACGTAGGTCCTGTGTCTGAGGGTGCCCCAGGAGTAAGCTGGGGCTTAGAAAGGTGGCCCTGTTCTGCCTAGACTGCATGACTTTGGGGAAAAAAATCCTTGACCCTTTGGTCACACACACACACACACACACACACACACACACACACACACACACACACGGAACAAATAGAAGAACCAGCTCTATGAAGATCATTAACACAACCTACCATCCTCTGTCTCCATACGTTTCCTTTGACCTCAAAGAAACTATGCATTTCCTTCCCAGTACTTTGCCCTCCTCCCGCCTCCCCCTTTTTTTTTTTCTTACATTTCCTGTTTGGTTATGGTTCTTTTTGTTTTTAGTTTTTTAAGACGGGGGCTTTTCTGTGTAGCCCTGACTGTCCTGGAACTCATATGGACCAGGCTGGCCTCGAACTCACAGAGATCCGCCTGCCTCTGCCTTCTGAGTACTGAGATTAAAGGCGTGTGCCACCATGCTCTCCCTCTCCTTTTTCAATTTCAGTGTTTTTATATTCTATATTGCTATTCAAAGACTAGAATCAACCTACACTTGCAACCTGTAAATTATCCTAAATGTAATAACATTTACTGTCCCTGAGCATTCCTCACTATGGTCCCCCTTTCTAGCTGCCAGGCACACCTCTCCCACTGGTAGCAAGAGACACAAATCCCCAGGTAAGAGGGAGCAATAATTTGACAAACACCACTCTTCAGTACAGGAATGCCCTTCTCCCCGAAGTATACCTAGGCCACTGCTTCAGACATCCATCAGTCCAGCTGCTTTTAAAGTCTTCATATTGTTATTTATCCACGAGAAGCCACATGACTTTCTCAGAAGCGGTTCCGTGCCTCCCATAATGATAAAATAAGAAAGAACGCAGAGCTGGTATGCAATCGTAAAATGCTATTCGCTGCTGAGCAACAAACAGTATTACCAAGTTACAAGATCTTGTAGAAGAATGAATCGCTGACACTTTTGCCAGCTTCTATGGAAAAGAGGCACTAAGCCTTTCCATCTGTGTGGTGCTGATGACAATTGGTCAGACCCAGAAATCTGCAAAACCGTCGTGCGGACTTTACACAAGGGTGGGGCTTCACAAAGCATGCCCTACAGGCCTAGGAGCACCTGTCCTTGTGAATAAAGTTTTATTGGAGCAAAGCCGTTCCTGATATCTCTGTATTAGCGTTGGCTCCTTGGACCTCGTGGCAGAGTGGAGGAGTTGCCACGTAGGTCACATGACTCACAGAGCCTACAGTATTTACTAACTGGCTCTTTACAGAAAAGCATTGGCAACTCCTGGTCCCTGCAGGGTATGGAAATAATTACTTAAATTCTTCTTTAGTAACAGCTACCCCCCCCCTTTAGTTTTGCTTTTGTTTTTTGGAGACACAGTCTCACTGGGGAGACCACCCTGGCCGTGAACTTTCTTGGACCATCCTGCCTCTACAGATGCACGCCATTATGCCTGACTTCATAGCTGCAAACATTTAACTAGTATTTCATAAAAAAGGAGATTTCCTTGCCTTCCCTTCCTTCTTTCATTTCCCCTCCTCTTTTTATCTGTTGCTTTCCATCAGTGATATCATAACAAAACATCATTGAGAATTTAAAATTATTTCAATTCTCCTTGAAAAGTCCATTTTCAATGACGGTACCGGAAGGTTTTTTAATACCTTCTTCCATCTAAAGGTTCACTTCCTTTTGTACTTTACTATTTGAAAAAGAGATTTTGAAGTCTAGCAAAGTATTATTAAAATATTTGAATTCTTATATTTGATGTGTGTTTTATAAATAAAAAGGATAATTTCAAATGTGACCTCTTACGATTTTGGACATCTAAATTTCAAAGAATAAAGTCTTCTAGGTCTTCTAGTAAAAATGTACCCTGAAACAAATGATAGTATGAATCTTTTTAATATAAGTTGAACTTTGAAAAATCATTTCAACAAATTCTATGTACCAGTTTCCATTACAGAATTGCATGTGCATGTGTGCCTGGAGCAGTGTGTATGTGAACTGTGTGTGTGCGTGTGTATATGTGTGTGTCTTGTAGACTCTGTGTGTGTGATGGGCTATGGTGTGTGTGTGTGTGTGTGTGTGTGTGTGTGTGTGTGTGTGTATGTGTGTGTGTGTGTGTGTGTAGTGTGGGCTGTATGTGCATGTAAACTGTGTGTGTGTGTGTGTGTGTATCTTGTGGACTCTGTGTGTGTGATGGACTGTGGTGTGTGTGTGTGTGTAGTGTGGGCTGTTTGTGTGAACTGTTTGTATGTGTATTGTGGACTCTGTATATGTGATGGGCTGTGTGTGTGTATGGTGTGGGCTGTGTGTGTGTATGTGTATGGTATGGGCTGTGTATGGTGTGTATGGTGTGTGTGCATGCACGTGTGTGTGTGTGTGTGTGTGTGTGTGTGTGTGGTGTGGTGTGAGAGACATGGCCCTGCCAGGTATTGAATCCAGGGCCATGTGCATGCCAAGCAAGACTCCTACCACAGAACCACACCCTCAGCCTAAGAATATTTTTAAAGATCTTAAAATAATGCTTGTTTTTCATACTTCCAAAGAACTGCTCACCCATTCATGCAGGATGAGAGCTTAGTTACACTGGGTTAATCCTTGTTAGAGTGGATCTTTCCGCAAGGAAGGCCGGCTCACTTCAGATTTCAGGGATGTAGAGGACTGTGGGACTGCATGTAGAGTTGGAGCTGACTTTCGCATTAGCTGCAGATCTGTGTTTCTATCTGACTACCCATTCAGTGTTCTTCATAAATAAAAAAAAAATATAATGAAGCCCATTAAACATTTCAGTTTAACGCTGGGCATAAAATCGTGTGCCTGTAGTCCCAGGTACTAATGAAGGTAATGGATAAAGATTGCTTGAGCCCACCAGTTCCAGGCTAGTCTGAACAATGTACACAGGTCCTATCTCAAAATAAAAGTGCCCTTAATCCAAACTGCTTAGCACAAAACACACATATGTGTGCTCTCTGTTCTGAGAATTAATCAGATTTGAAGGGTTAAAGCAAAATATGGCTCCAAGAAGCACCATGTAGTCATGATGTATCTTTAAATACCTGCCTTTGCTTTGGAAGATGTAACGGCATGGAAAAGGGAAAGGTCTAGTTTTAGCTTGATTAGAATACGGAGCTTAGCTTTGTTCTTGGCAAATCCTGATTCACAATAAACTACTGGTGTAGAATCTGGACATGGTGAAGTATGCAAATGATCATCACTTTGTCAGGTTAACCCTCCAAGTATGTGTCTGGTAAACCTCGGGGTTAGATAGATGATTAGAAATATCAGTTACTATATTAGGACTTAATAGTAACCTAAATATCAATATTTACAGCTTTCAGTTGAACCAGAAAAGCCAAGGTAGACATGTGAAAAAAGTTTGGATGGCAAGGGGAAACATGCTTGTGGTTTCTGTTTTCAAAGTAAATGCTGTTTGTCGGGTGTAACTGAGAATCACAGGTATGCAGAGCACAGATTCTTTCTTGTTCCTTCATTTGGGAAGAGCTAGAGACATTTTTCTTAATGGTAATTATATATAAATCTATGAGTTTTCCAAGACCAGCAGTAATGATTGCTCTTAATACAATTCATGGGCTAGAGGGGTGGCTTGTCAGTTAAGAATGCTCATTGCTCTTCTCAAAGACCCAAGTTAGGTCCTCAGCACACATGTTGGGCTGCTCACAATCACCTGATACTCTAGTCCCAAAGGATCCAAGCCCTCTTCTGGCCTGTGCGGGTAACCAAACGTATTTGGTGTATACATACACAAACACACACACACACACACACACACACACACACACACACACACACACAGACACACTTAAGAGGAAATAAAAAGAAGTATAACTTACCTTCCTTAGTAACAGTCAAGGTGAATTAATCAATCATAAGGTTTTTTTTTTCATTTTAGAAAGGGTTTATTTATATAGTCCAGCCTGATCAGAAACTACTGTGTAGCCCAGGCTGGCCCCGAACTCATCTCAGTCCTCCTGATGAGTTCTGAGGTTACAGGCATGGGCCATTACTCCCTGGTAGCTGTGGAGTTTTACAAATGGAACTTACCATATAAGATATGTACGTTTGTTATTTGAGCATTGTGCCCACAATGTCGTCATCTGTGAGCACAGTGCGGCCATGTGTGCTCATCTTAGGAGTCTTATTCTGAATGGGGTTTTCTGCTGTTCGACAGTAACCTCTGGTTCTTAGTAGGATGTAAAAAACTCTTTCAAGTTGCTTACCTCACATGTAGCAATTTTTTCTTTGGTGATGGCACCCAAGAATTGCATGGTTTGGAGTAATATCACAAATTCCATTAAAATGAGTTTCTATTTCGTACAAATATCACAGAATTTAAAAACAAACTTTATCATACCAGTCTTCAAATCATTCGTTAAAAAAAAAATCAGGGTACATTCATCAAAAGTGGAGCATTAAATTAAAGTATGCAACTAAAAAATTAACTGCATTTAGTCAAATGCTGTGTGGGAGCCTCGGCACCTTGCTAAGGATGCCCTCCAAAGATGTGGATGGTGTATGCTACTCACAAACTTCCTTCCCCCCGAGAATACCAGACTAGCTCTAATGTGTTAGACCCCACTTTCATTGTTTGGCAGGATCAAGGGCACACAGACTTCTGGGCTCACCCAGCTGTTCTAGTTCATTTGAAGGTAGTCTGGGGTTCCATAGCTCCCAACCCAAGGTTGAGACTGCTAATGGCTAGTGTTTGTTGAGTACTTGCTCTCTGGCACACACTCTTACGCATGCTCCAAACTCGTGTACACTCCCATTTGCTCTATGAGACTGGTTGTCTCAGAGGTTAGGTTGCCAGATGCTGTAAAGATGCCACTGGCTGGGACCTGCTGCAGCAGTCCAGGGAAGTCAGCAAACGTGTCGTAGTGTACAGTTCTGGGAACCGGAAATCCTAAGCCAATATGCCGGCAGGGCTGTCTGTTCCCTTCCAAAGACTGTGAAGGGAAGACTCTGTCCCAAGCATCTCTCCTTGACTTGTGGATGGCCATCTTTGACCTGTGTCTTTTCACATTATCTTCTGTCTATGCCTCTCTCGGTGTCATTTTCCTCTTTTCAGAAGGACATTACTCCTAATGGATTATGACCCACTCTAATGACCCCATTTTAACTTGGCTATTCCTGCAAAGACCCTAGCTCCAAACGAAGGTCAGATGGAGGGGAAGGGACTACTGGGGGAGTGAGCATTTTAAGGTGTGAATTTGGTGAGAAGGCATTAACTTCTTATTATAATTAAAACTTGTAAAAAAGAAAAGATTTATTTAGGTTCACAGTTGTAAAGGTTTCAGCCTGTAGTTAGATGGGTCCATGACTTTTAGGTCTATGGTGAGTCTACTTTCTATGGTAAGATCACAGCCCAGGAGCAAAAGAGAGAGGAAGCCCCCTTCAAGGGCGCCATTGACCTAAAGACTGCCCCCCCCCCCATTAAATTTCACCTCCTAAAAGTACCACCAACTCCCAATAGCAACAAGCCAAAGGCCAAGCTTTTAACGCATGAGTTTTAGGGAACATTCTAGATCTAAACTACAATAGGGAATGAGGTGGGCAAAGAATGAACAATTCAACCAATAACTCCATTGTCAAAGATAGAGTGGGGCTTCCAATCTAACAGTCTGGCCTTGGAATCCAATCTTTCATTCTCCATATTGTACTGCTTTGACTGTGACCCGTGGAACTGCCCTTTTTGTGGGTCAAGCATTGGCGGTACTTATATGATTTCATCTGGCCTGTTTCTGAATTATACCATTCAGATCAGTTCTGTAAACATCACCACCCTTGATATGCCTGACACTGACAAATGGGGGCTCCCCAAGACATGAAATGTCTGTCGTCGTTGTCCTTGTTCAACTCATGTTTAGGCAGTCATAATGGTGAGACTTTATGGGTGTAGCTACAGGTATCTAAGGGATGCTGAGAATGGGAGAGATTATGTCTTCTCGGGAAGAGCACCCGACTGTTTACCCAAGACCAAATGCCAGCCCTGAAAACATACGTGTGAGTAACATTATACAAACCGAGTGGCTTACATAAAGTGTATGCAGATGCATCTACATACATTCATATAACAACTATTAATGAAAACAGAAGCCATGAACTTGAAAAAGAGCAAAGCGTGGTATACAGAAGGGCTTGGGGGGCAGAAAGGACAGGGAGAATGATGTAATTATATTATAACCTCAGTGTTAAAAGAGGTTTAAAAAAGGACTAGTCAAATCTAGTTACCCTTTTATAAAATGTATAAAAATTAACTTTAAATAAACAGTCTTTAAAAAATGAGTGTATAATAAAGTAATTACACACACAATATATGTGTGTAGTATTCTCTGATATCAAGGTAGCTCTTTTAACCTCACTTCTCTGGTGATCTTACTGAAAAACTTATTTTCCATGAATTTGTGTCATATAAATTTAAGTTTCATAGGAAACTTTTCATCTTCCTGTCCCTTACCAAATAGTCTTTCTTTCCCGATGTTCAAGAAAGACTCCGTAGCAGTAACAAACTAACTCTGTGTGACTTCCATCTCTCTCTCTTGCAGCAACTTTTCTGATGTGGTGGTGTAAGGCATGGAACCCAAACAAGGTCTCACACATGCCGGACCAAGAGTCCCAACACCCTTCTCCATGCCCAATCCTAGCCCTGTTTTAACACCTTTTCACTCTCTAGGTGGGAACCTGCATCATAGGAGTCATCAGAGAAAACTGGGATTCACACTACACCTAATAAACACCTCTGAAGCCTCCTTGCATGCCATGGGGTGACACTTCAAATTTGGCAATGTTAATAGGACTCTGAAAATCAGGGGTGCACAGCCTGTCCCTTCTTCTCTCATAAACATCTCTGTTTCTCTCTTAGGTGTTCCAACCCCAAGCCAAGAAATTCTAAGGCATACCCTAAACACACTGGTCCGGGAGAGGAAAATCTACCCGACTCCAGATGGCTATTTCATTGTGACCCCACAGACTTACTTCATCACTCCTTCCCTCATAAGAACTAACAGTAAGTGGTACCACTTGGATGAGAGGGTACCTGACAGGTCTCAGTGTACCTCTCCACAACCCGGAACCATAACGCCCTCTGCCTCAGGCTGCGTCAGGGAAAGGACATTACCCAGAAAGCACTGCGACTCTTGCCACTGCTGCCGAGAAGACGTGCACAGCATGCATGCCTCCACTCTGCAGAGGAAACCCGCCAAGGACTGCAAAGACCCCTACTGCCCTCCGCCGCTCTGCCAGGTGCCGCCCACTGAAAAAAGCAAAAGCACTATCAATTTCTCTTACAAGACCGAAACTCTCTCAAAACCGAAAGACGGTGAGAAGCAGTCCAAAAAGTTCGGCCTCAAGTTATTCCGGCTGAGCTTTAAGAAAGACAAGACCAAACAGCTGGCCAATTTCTCTGCCCAGTTTCCTCCCGAGGAGTGGCCCCTCCGGGACGAGGACACGCCGACCACCATCCCCCGGGAGGTGGAGATGGAGATCATACGGCGCATCAACCCGGACTTGACAGTGGAAAACGTCATGAGGCACACGGCACTGATGAAGAAACTTGAAGAAGAGAAGGCTCACCGGAGCAAAGCCGGGTCCTCGGCCCACCACAGCGGAAGGAGTAAAAAGAGCCGGACTCACCGCAAGTCCCACGGGAAGTCTCGGTCCCACAGCAAGACTCGAGTGTCGAAAGGAGATCCTTCGGATGGCTCACATCTGGATATCCCAGGGGAGAGGGAGTACGAATTCTGCGACCCTCTAACCAGGGCCCCCAGGGAGGGCTGCTTTATCATCGAGCACAAAGGAGACAACTTCATCATGCACAGCAACACAAACGTGATCGAGTCCCATTTCCCCATGACGCCGGAATGGGATGTGTCTGGCGAACTGGCCAAAAGGAGAACGGAGATGCCCTTTCCCGAACCTTCCAGGGGAAGCTCCCACTCCAAAGTGCACCGAAGCCACAGCCATACCCAGGACCGGAGGTCCAGGAACGAGAGATCCAACAAGGCCAAGGAGAGATCCAGGTCGATGGATAACTCCAAAGGCCCCCTGGGCGCGTCTTCTCTCGGGACTCCGGAAGACCTGGCCGAAGGATGCAGCCAAGATGACCAGACCACCAGCCAATCCTACATTGACGACAGTACTTTAAGGCCGGCGCCGACTATTGGTCATCAGAGGGCTCACATTTCCCCTGCCAGCTATAAAGAGGTGTGCATTCCAGAAATAGTCGGTGGCAGCAAGGAGCCTTCCAGTACTTGTAGCCTTTTGGAGCCAGGCAAACCCCCTGAGAGTATGCCATCCTACGGGGAACTCAACCCCTGCCCGGCAAAAACAGCTGTGGATGACTATTTTCAGTGCAACACCTCCAGCGAGACTGTGCTCACAGCACCGTCTCCTTTGGGGAAGAATAAAGAGGACCATGACACTTTGACCCTGGTGGAGGGGGTAAAAAAGCTGTCTCCATCTGAGAGGCAAACCCCTCATTCTTCCAGGGAGCCTGTTGGGCACAAGGAGGAGTCACCAAAAGGGCCAGGTGGGGGCCCTGCTACCTCTGGTGGTGTGACAGAGGGGATGGCCAATGGCCGCCTGGTCCAACATCATAGCGCAGAACCCAGCAGCCTGGACAAAAGGAAAGAAATATTCAGCAAGGACACACTGTTCAAACCTCTACACAGCACCTTGTCTGTAAACAGCTACCACAAATCCAGCTTGTCCCTCCTCAAATCTCACCCGAAGTCACCTGCCGACACACTGCCAGGCCGATGCGACAAACTGGAACCTTCCCTTGGGACGTCTGTGGCCCAAGCCATGCCTACGTGCCAGCGCCAGCAGGAGACTGGAGGGAACCAGGAGGCCTCTTTTGACTATTACAACGTCTCTGATGATGATGACTCCGAGGAAGGGGCCAACAAAAACACAGAGGAGGAGAAAAACAGAGATGATGTGGGCACCATGCAGTGGCTTCTTGAGAGAGAGAAGGAGAGGGACTTGCAGAGGAAGTTTGAGAAGAACCTCACCCTTCTCACCCCAAAAGAAACTGATAGCAGCAGCAGCCAGAGAGCCACCCACTCAGCCCGCCTGGACAGTATGGACAGCAGCAGCATCACAGTGGACAGTGGATTCAACTCCCCACGGTAGGGAGAGATGCCCCTCGGTATACGCATACACCTGCCAGGGCCCGGGCCTTTATGCAGCTAGCCGACCTCAGTCTCAGATTGTGAATGAGGGCTGTGAGTTGTGTGACTTGTGTTGTTAACAGCCTGTTTCTAACTTCTTTTTCAGGAATTGAAAAAAAAAAAAAAATGTTTCTGCAGCTGTAGAGATCACCAATCTGGACTGGTGGGTTGGTCCCTTCCCTAAGCCTTGCCTCAGTCTAGCCTGATTAAGACCAACACTCCCAGTGTTTTTTTTTCTCATTTGTATTGCCAACCAGGAGGAGGGAATTTTTTTTAAGTCCTTCTTCAAAAAAAAAAAAAAAAAAAAGTAACTTTCTGAGTACAATGAATACGGTCAGTGGGAAGAAAGGGGCGGGCAGTAATTGGTACCAGGATAATGGCCCCTCTAGTGAGAATATAGTAGTGGGCTTTACAGTCTTTCCAGAGGATCTGAAAGCTTGATACCACTCTAAATCCTATGCTGTGTGTGGTCTGTTCTACTGGCTCAGATGACTTCCTCTTCCACCTGTGTGTGGATGGAGACATGGAGGCTTGCTCCCTTCACAAAAGTTAGGGGCACCTATACTCCGTGAGAGCAAAACCGTTGCCCACACTTTCATTTTCCCAGCTGTCGAATTGACGGTGTCTGTTTGGACATTGTCGTTTTATAGCCTTGATAGTTCAGCAGAGTTGACAGTTGGGAGTGTATAAACCCTGATGGTCCTCTCCAACGCACCAAGGTTGTTTAGGGGTGACAAATACAAACCCAGGGACGCCACACTTCCTGTTTTTCTCCATAACTCTTTCTTCTCCTTAAACAGCAACTTGGAACCTAAATCTTGCTTCTAAATTCTACTCCAGATTGGTGATTCTAAGATGCAGAAATGATCCTGAGATGTACATTCCTCGTTGTCTCCGATTCCCAAGATCTCATAGTATTTACAATGAGAATAAGTACCCACATAGGAACTTCAGATCTTCATTTATGTATTACGAGTTATAGTTAATTCCATTGCAATCATTTCACCCTATTTCTGGGTAACTTGGGGACACATCATTCCAAAGTCAGACTTGGGGATTATAACAAATTTTATTCCATAGTTAGGCATTTACTATTTCTTAAAGAACCAGCTCTTGACTTATTATTGTAGCTATTTTGATCATGTAACCCTTTTTTCCCAAGATAACACATAAATGGAAGTTCTAATGTCTAACAGACATCATTCAGAGTTGGCACTCTGGCAGAGTGCATGGGAATCTAGGAGCCTGGGTCTCTCTGTGGGCATTAAGGATGTTCAAGAAACCCCAGAGAGTGGTGGCCCTGATCTTTTTAAAGAAACTGTTTTGCTAATTTTTTTCCCTCCCAAATCAGATTTTATTTTCCAATTAGTTTTCTCTGTCCTTATCTATTTATTTTCCTGTTCTATACTTTTCCCGCTCTTGGAAATCCTAGCAATAAGAACCAGATAATTGGAGGTCTGTGGTAAAAGTTCAAAGACATTGCTTATAGAAAAGATGGTTTCCTTGCTTGTATTTTATGCTCATTATTTCTTATCACGTAGACTCCTCTGCCTAATGCTTTTCTTATTGTACTTTCAAGCCCTTCCCATTGCCCCCTCAGCACCTGGACTTCAGCAGTAAATGGTGACGCTCCCCAGACTGTTGTCAAGGAGATGTTGGGAGTGAGTGGGTTCTAATCCAAAGCCCTGCGTAATATTGAAAACTTTTGTTTGTGCGGGGGTAAAAAGAAGTATCCATGAGATAGCTGAACCACTATCTCCAAAGAATATATTATCTTGACACTTGGGCTGTGAAACATAAGTAGAGTTACCTGTAGAAGTTTATTTTCATTTTTAAATTGTCAATGCAGCAGCAAATGTTCATTCTAAAGAGAGAGAGAACCTTTCCCCACCGGCCATAGGTCTGTCTATTAATACTTGATTGAATCTCCTTTTCGGAAACATGTAGATCTCCCAAACTTTTCAGGCAGGAAACCCATTCGAGAATTCCCGATTTTACTGTTTGATAAAGATCCTTTGGTCAGAGGCGTGGTGACAGACTTACTTTCTATATAATTTAGTATCTTCACCAAGCTGCCTTTCTGTGCATGAGAGAGAACAAAAGAGAATATCGGACTTCCAGAGTTTTCAACTTGAGTGGCATTCCGGTGAACTAACACTATCATGGAGATGTTGTGCCATTGCTGAGTAGGCTGTTTATGGGACCCTTCCCTCAAAACAGTTCATTAAGCAATTATGATTCTGCCAAGACAAATGATTTTTCTCTACATTGGAAGGTTTTAGTGCTTACCTGGATATCATGTTTAGCCATGTTTTCAGTCCCATTTTTTGGAACTAAAGAATATTAAAAAAACAAGCAAACAAACAAACAAAAATACCCACAAAGGATAGACACTTGAACTGTGCTGTGAGAAGTCTTATTGAAACTGAAAAGTGTTGAAGTGAAAAGGTCATTGTTTCAAATGTGAGACCCCAAACTGGCTGAGCAAACATATACACAACTTTGAGAGAGACTATGTGCTACCCTGGGCCTGTGCTCCTCTGGAAAGCTATGTACTGGAGAGAGGATGGAGAGCAGAAGCACTTAGTGAATCTCTCCACCTAGGAAGTCCTAAATAGCTCTCTCTCTCTCCTTTTTTTTTTTTGAGACATGATCTCTCTACATAGTTCTGACTGTCCTGGAACTCACTATGTAGACCAGACTGGCCTCGAACTCACAGAGATCCACCTGCTTCTGCCTCCCGAGTGCTGGGATTAAAGGTATGCACCACCACTCCTGCCTCAGTAGCTCATTTCAAAGGTTGTGTTCCATTTGCTTTCTTTTCAAAATTAAATATGAGAAGTATTTTACTACTAAAAAGCCATCTCTGTTATTAGTATATCCTGATCCCTCCGTATGACTGTCCTAAATTCTGTTCATGATTACAACCGGAATGAAATACATTCTTTGCAGAAACTGGAATACTGTGCATATTTATCCCTGTGAATGCATTAGACATAGCTCAAAGGAGGCCAAAGGTGTATTCCAAAGACATGTCTTAACTAATGGGTCATGTTAGAGTGCTTTATGTTTCTAGTTCCAAGTACACTATATGGAATACAGCAAAAAATGTTAAGCTGATCCCTCAACAGCTATTTTAAAAATAGGTTCTTTGGGCCTTACAATTCATTTTCCCATAGAAAAATGTCATTGGCGATAGTTAGATTCCCAAGCTGATCTACAGTAGTTATTTAACTGAGTGTACAATGGGTGTAGAAATAGCACTGTCCTAACTTTTTAATGTGCCGATGCATCAGTGTTTATTTCTTTTTCACAGTCACTCTGTAAGTAGGTAAATCACAATACAATTCTCTCCACCATATTCATGAGGAAGTTAGATGCTGTTAAAAGTTATTATCATGTGCCAGATAGCTCAGTGTATAAAAGACACCACCAAGCCTGACATCTCAGGTTGATCCTCAGGATCATACTAGGGAAGACCAGAAATGACTCCCACAAATTATCCTCTGACGTTTGCACACATAGCACCCCCCCTACACACACACACACACACACACACACACACACACACACACACACACACACATCATTTTTTTAAAAGTTACTGCCATGATTGGAAGTGCAGTGAATGGAATGTGCCATAAAACCTTTGGGATTCAACATGTTCTTTGCCCTTCATCCTCCTCTGACCCCTCACCTCAATGACGGCTCTGGAAAACTGATGGGTTTTCTGGGGAAAGAGGTCAGGCAGGTAAGTAGGTAAGTGGGGTGTTTTCTATCCTTAGTGGCATTTTGGCATATTCTTTAGATGTGCTCATCTAACCAGAAGCTTGATGGAAAAACTTGGTTTACCCCTTAAAGTGCATTAATCCTCTATAATCAGAAAGAGTACTGGGGTTTTTGTTACTGTTGCTTGTTTGTTTGTTTGATAGTCAATGAATATACTGCCTTTTAAACCTTTAATTCTTGGCTTCCTGATGATGAAGACTCAAGTCGCTAAGGGATCAGAGTTAGATACCCTGTTGGGATTGGCTGCTAAGGGGGGAGATGGCGTCTTGGCTGTGGTTGTTGACGTGATAGCTAGGTTTGGCTTAGACTCGGGGTATAGAGACCAACTGAACTTTGAATCTACCCAGTGGGGTAGGTGTTCTGAGAATGATTCCGGTTTCTCTGCTCTGTGTAAGTGGGTCAATTTCTGAGAGTCACTTTGGGGACTTGGAATGTGGAGCCTTTTCCCTCCCTCTCAGTTTGCTGAGGGATCTTATTTCTACTGCTGTCCTGAACTTTTCAGACACAGATGTTTTAAAATCTCTTTTAGCGGTGACATAGATTCAAGTCTTTCAGACTTGGAAAATGTAAACAGAAGTAATGAAGTTTTAAAGTCACCTCATCCTTAAGAAATGAAAATATTTCTACCAAGGGGAGACAGGAATGAACTGCAGCTTCACAGATAAGTGTTGGGGGGGGGGCGATCTTCTTTATCTGACCATATATTGTGTTTTAACTGAAGTGTTCAAATAGAGACAGAGGTGTAAAGTATTTACAAATAATTTCATTCCCATTCGTGTGACGAAGTCAGCTAGTGGCATGTTTGACGTCCATCCACCACCCCATTAACATCTAATCAAAAGCACCAAAAGAATGGAACCTTTCAGTACAGTTCTGGAGTTTATTCGAGAACCATGATGTCTGTGAATTCTCGACCTTTGGCGAAACCATCACACAGGTATGAGTACTCATTGTTAAAGCCAGTGTGATGGTCATCTGTCACATTACACTTTGAAGACATTTTCTGGAAAGGAAAGAGTAGGGGAAGCCATACATTTGGTAGTCAGAAACCCTTGACTGGGTGAGCTGCAGTTCATGTCTTATGTGCTTCCCAGAGTCCGGGCTGGAAGAGCACATGCAGATTATCAGTGGAGATGCAAATGATACGACATCGTGAGCCAACAGAGGAAATACATTAGCTCCGTCATTGGCTCTTCCTCCTGGGCTCAATATATAATTGTTTATGTTCAAAGCAAAACCAAAACCAACCCTTTTTACTCTTTTAGCACTCGGGAGAGCCTGGCTTCCAACACATCAAGCATTGTTGAAAGCAACCGCCGTCAGAATCCTGCTTTGAGTCCGGCCCACGGCGGAGCTGGTCCAACCTTCAACTTCCGTGCAAGTACGGATCCCCCGACCAATGAAGCTGAGAAATTACAGAAACCTTCCAACTGCTTGCAAGCTTCTGTTACTAGTGTATGATTGTCCTTCTGCCTCGGATCTTCTGTCTTGTTCGATACAGCAACGTTTACGACAATTGGGACTGATGTTTACATCTCTGCAAAGACAAACATCTCAAGCACAGCTTGGGGGTCACTTGAGCTGTGCTGCTAAAGTAGGCTAGGGCAAAAACAAAAAATCTTTATTTCAGAGTATTGCTTTTCACATTTACGGCTCTGTAGCAACCGAATAGCAGTAGGGGAGATATGTATACTTCTGCTTCACTAACTATATCTGAGCACACATAGGCAAGTCTAAACACTGTAAGTGGAACATGCATTTTTCAATGTCATGCAGTTGCCAATTCCATTTTGAAATGCCACAGATGTGTGTTGCTCCCAGCCTATGGGGAATGGGGCCAGGGAAGGAATCCTTGACAACGCTCCCCCCACCCCACCCCACCCCCCAAAAAGCCAAGTCACAACAAAATGTAAATGTAAGGGTGTCCATCGTGAGAGAAATCAATGCCAAACTGAGCAGAAGGGACCCCAGCCCTTTGTGTGTGAGTCCTTTCAAAACCAGTCATTTTTCACTGTGAGTCTTCATGACGCTCCTGCAGGAGCCTATGGAAGTGGGTCAGAGAGGGTTCCGATGGGATTCCTTAGAGTGTTTGTTTTCAGGATTCTGTTTTCCGGTGCACTCCATGCTTGTCTTGAGTTGTTTAGCCTTCCATAATCACAAACAGGAATATTGGCCTTTGAAGTGGACAAAGGAAGGGAAATCCGGTCTCGCTGGGGCACAGCACTGAGTGATGGAGAAGATTGTGTGGACTTTGGGGAGGGATGAATCGGATATTGAAGAAAGATACTCCCTCCTTGTGACACTTAGGTCGAGCTATCTTACTATAATAGATGCAGTGATTAGTTTGTTTGGAAGCAAAATGTTCTTTATGATACAAATGAAGAATGTGGCCTGAGGGTGTTATTCTTTCTAATGGAAGGGACATAAATCTATTTTATGTAGTTTTAAATAGAATGCCTAAATTAGGCTGTGGGAGATAATTTTTAGTGGTTGTAGGAAAGAGCAAATTTAGGGAGAGTTGAACGTCAGGCCTTTTATTCCTGGGAAGATATCTATAGAGAAAACCTTTAAAGTAATTTTTGATTAGAAATGTACATGGGCCCATATAATAAACAGCAGAGTGTCCTCATTCTGCTGGTATGGTATATCCTTAATTTGTACTCCCCTAAAATTTATCAGAATAACAATTATGCATACATGAACTATGCCAGAGTAATGTTTACAGATACTTTGTAACAATTTCGGGAGGCGTGTTTTAGGTGGATTGTGTGGTCACTCACTCAGCATCTTTTAAAATGATTTCTTCACACTCTACTTTGGTTTACAATGTCACGCTCAGTATCAAAAGGCTCCACAGCAGGGGGACCACTAACCAACACCCTTCAGTCATACAGGAAAGACACATTTCAAAAGAAGAATATACAGATGAAGATGTATACCATAGGATTCCTACATCTGTAGGTCCTGGAAAACTATCACCCAAGATTTCAGTGATGAGCATAAATTTGTGAGGGATTTTCTTTTTCTGTGTTAGGGTTAATCACTAGCAATGCATTTCAGGAAACACAGTCATATGATGTGGCTGGAAATGTGTATGCTCTCACATTTCGCCTGCTGTTTGGAAGTTGCATTGGGTCAAACTGGGCTCCTCAACTTTACTATAGTAAATTACTTTTGTGTGCTTATTGTAGTGAAACTTAAGCACAGTTCTCAGTGTGCTGCTACATCATTGAAATACTTAAGCCAAATGGGTTTGAATCTTATATATTATTTCCTCCCAGGCATGCCTCAGTTACTCAAAAACATTTTATCTCGTTACTTAACTATGTCCAGAAAGAGCAGCCACGTATCTGGTATTCTACATAGTCCGTTTGCTCGAGGAGCTGTATACCATACAATTCCTGGATCTGGTCTGTCTAATTTTTTTCTAAAAACCTGCTCTCAAATTTTTGGCATACTCAGTTCACTGATAATAGGACCATTAAAACAATACATTAGTCTCTGATAGACCCTCTGAACATAGCCATTGAAGGAACCTAGTGCTGTGTGAGCAGGAAAGGACATAATTATGGTTAAGAGAAGCTTTGAAACATGCATTTTTGCTAGTTCACAAGAAATAGGTTTACAGAAGACATTATTCAAATAAAATGTGTACGCTATTTGCCTAATCACTATGGGGTACATGATTAAGAAAGAACCAAACAAAAGAATCTCCCTTAGGCCAGCAGCCATTAGCACAGAATGATGGACTTCAAGGATGATATACCACATAAACAGGTAGTTTGTGGAGAAACACTCTTGTCTGAATCTAATCTGGATTCTTGAACGGAGGGACATTGGTGGTGGGGAGCACATGATAGGTATGACAAGTCCAATGTGTCTAAGATGATCTCATCCAGATGGTGAGACTCTTGATGCCCACAGCCTTGAGGCCCTACCCAGACTTTGCCAATACTCTTCTCCACTGGAACCACAGCTTTGTGTTACATGACTGCATGTCTAGTCTTAGTGTTTCTCAATGGAAAGGTTTACAAAACTGAATCTGGTTGAATCTCCGTGAGGCATTCAACTCTAAAGGGTCAACACATCTGTCGGCATTTTGCACACATATATGTATTATTATGATACAGCCTATTATTTTATGGTAATTTTTATTTTTACATATAACTACCTCCATGAATTTGATGAAATGGCAGCAGTGTGTTCAAGTGTGTTCTTCAGAAAAGCAATGTTGAAAACATGCTTCAGCAGTAGGCCATGGCATTCCGTGTGTGTCGGTGACTTGTCCATTGGACTCATGACTTTCTCCCTGCCCCAGTTTTTCATTCACAACATTCTTTGGCTTTCGATTGTAAACCTGTTGTCCTCTTTCTCTCTCCTTTCTCCCCCATGAAAGCTCATTTGATTTGTTACAAGTGAATGAATGCTTTAAAATTATTATCTTCCCCACTCTTCCATTCCCGCTACAAGAAAAAAAAATAAAAAAAAAGAAAGGTCCTTTTGGCAAAGAGCCACTTGGTAAACATTTGGGACATTATTAATTCCTACAAGAATTGGATTGGGTTGCTAGGTTTTTTTTTCAGTAACAAAATACATGTGAGAAATTCGGACTGCCAACTGGAAGCACTTTGGGCCTCCCTGCCTTTATCATATGCTACCCTATGGAGCCCAAACTTCCTTTTTATTAAAAGAGCTGTGCCACACATTCTGAGATGTCTGTTAAAGAATGTGTATACCATTTGATACATTGTGCACATCTCAGGAGACCTTAATGAGTATGTGAAAAGGGTTGTATGTGCACTCAATAGAGAAGACAAATAGAAGAGCTGGAAGGAGATAATAAATGCCTGTGTCTTTGGTGTTGAAGAATCCAATTCAGGAAATATAAATCAAAAGGGAATCTGAAGGAGCAGTGATTTGAACACCAGATGTTCCTACATGTCTCCTTTTCAAAACTCAATCAATATTGTTAAGATGCACATTTAAATTCTATTGTGGCCACCACAAGACAAGAACGGTGGTCCATAGGAAAGCATAATTTCTTCTTTAGGTTGACACAGCTTTGTAAAGTTCCATCCAGAATTTACCACTGGTCACCACAAAGTGTACTTGAAGATCAAGTTTGTAACTTGAATGAAAGGCATAATTCTCACAAAACCGTAGCGATCATCTTTGAGAAATGTCTTACCATTTGGAAGGGGTAGCATTCTGAGCTTACGCTAACATCCAACAACTGGTAATGTTATGCAGCTCATCGGGGATCTCAAAGTGCTTCCGAAGCATTAGATTGTACAATTCCAGAGCAGGTCCTGTGTGTAATACCCATGCTTGACAGGGGCAAACAAACGGAGTGATTCAAGATCACCCAGAAACACAGCGGCAGCTATCAATGACCTATTTTCTATCTGTTTGATAGGCCATCATGAGAAATCACTACAATGCTATTTTTCTGATGTGTGCTAATAAAGACAACAAGTTCAGCTCGACACCTTGTCCATTTTCATTCCAAGAGTTATGGCTGTTTGGAATCTCAACACATCAGCACACATTGCTGGTATTGGTTATGAAGTGGGAGATGAGCAAATCCATACCAAGGCCATTGCCATTCAAGGCCCATCCAGACATCCACCCCTGTTTACAATTTCTTATTGGTTTTCTGTAATTCTTGTAAACCCCATCATCAGGAACATTGGCTGCTCCAGGCAGTGGAAGGTGCTGAAACAGTTTTTTGTTTTGTTTTGTTTTCCTTTAAAATCTTTCTAAGCACTCTTCACAGTGCTCAACTGAGTAACATTTGCTACAGTATATCAAGCCCTGCTTCCTAAGATCTGGGAAGCTGGTCCAGTTCCAAGTGTTTCTCAAATTAAGAGACAGAAGGTCTTTGAAACCTGCTTTCTCCATTCCCACAGGCCAGTCCCAGATCCAACCAGCACTGTCAGACCACAGTGGACCCAAGCAGAAGTGATTGAATCTTCCTTACCCACCCAGTAACATCCCACCCATTGTCAAAGCCATCCAACAATGTCCTGTGAGCGAGGGACTCCTGGGTCCGTGTTTAAGGCTTGGGGAAGCTAGAAACAAGAAAAATGAATGCAAAAGCCATGGGAGGCATTGTTTTTCTTCGGGTTAGTTAAATATAGTAGGGAAGGGGTTGCTCTTATCTGAGCTTTGCCAAGAAATATAAACAAACCAGCTGTCACTGCATCTCTCTAAGGAGGTGTTATAGTATTAATGATACAACTGATATTTTCCCATGGAGTTTTCTCTAGGATGCATTTCATAAATTATACATATGAGACATTTCGTTATTAAATCTCATGTGTTTGTAAAAGGCACTGGCTTCTCTCTGATTGGCATCTGTCCCCTTCCCTTGCCTTGCATCAGCGACGCAGAAGGGCTCCCCCGTAATGGCTTTCTCTGACACACACTCCTGTGTCTTTACTGCTGTTCATTGACTTAACAGTTGATGACTTGCAGAATATTTAAACTTCGAAAAAGCTCGAGGGGAACTAAGCCTTCTGGTGATTGTATTACGGACAGTAAGAGGCCTTTGCTCCTTGTTAGCTTCGCCTGTGAACACGCCCTCCTGTGACTGAGGAAAAGGGTGTGTCCAAGTGAGGCATCAGTGGCTCTAGAAAGGCCCCAAATGGCAGGTTAGAGCTTGGCTGGACCTCGTACGGCCGCCTACCTCCCTGTCCAAAGGCTGATCTTGGTACCTCCACTCCCTTGCTCTCGCCTAAAAGAGGTATCAAATCTGAGACCCGAGCTCTCCTCCAATCCCGGTCCTCTACAGCTCCAGGACATGCATCATATAGAACACTCTTCCTCTCCTCTGAGGGCCACCCTCTCTGCTTCCTTGCCCTCCCCCGCCTAGATACCTACACCACCACTGTTTCCACATTGGAAGGACAGGATACTGTGCAGTATTGTGCACGTGTGCCAGTTAGGAGTAAAACTGCCCTAGGGTCACCTTCATGTAAGCATCAACAGCTACAGATTCAAAGTGCTTAGAGCAGGGACATCAGTACCACTATCTGCAAAAGAATTCAATTTGGGCATCCACGTTTTGAGGGAATCACGATTCTGCAGGTGTCTTTCTCTGAGTGACTTAATGCGACTATTACATTAGGGGTCAATGAACTAAGAAGTGCAAGTGGGAATCACTGTATGTTAGGAAGGGGTTTTGCAGCCAAGACTGCCTTGAATAAAATGTTTTTGCACTGAAAAAAAAAAAAAAAACCTTTAAATGACTTGGTCTCTGGTTGCTGTAAAGGTCATCCAAGATGGATGTTCTGTTTATATTGTATAGTATTTCATATGAAATAACTGCAGTTCATGAAACGTCTTCCCTAATGTTCCTGATTTCTAACAGCACATTTGTAACATGGTTTTTATCGTGTCCGTGTACCATATTGTAAATGATGATTCCTTGTCATGCTTAGTATAATAACTTAAAAGGAAAAAAAGGACAGGGATTTTTGTAAGTCTATATTTGAAAGTCCCTCCATATGGTAATATTGTGTTCATGTTGTTTATGTAGTGTTGTGTGAAATATCCATTTTGGATTGTGTTACTTTTTAAGATATTAAATAACATTTGGTTATATGTGTAAGTGGATTTTTTTTTTTTTTTGGTACTTGAGAGAACGATCCTTTTAGATGAGGTCAGTTTTCCTCTTTGATTAATGTGATTTTGTAACAGAGTTCTGCTGCACATTCTTTATTACAGTTTTTAAATTGAAAACCGAAAATGGAGTTCCTGTATCGAAATTCTTTTCCTGTGGATTTTGAGAAGATCACATTTTGGGGTGGGTTTAACAGACAGCAATGGCTAGAGCTGTGTGTGGTTCCATTTTCTACGAAGTTATAAAGTAACATGGTTATTTGGGGGCTTTCTCTTTTTAAACCACTCATTTCAAACTTGTAACACAAGTTAAATGTCTCGCAGGTAAATACTGGAGGTTTGCTCATGTAGTTAGAAGTTAGGGATGCCCGCGTATTCAGTGGTCTTCAAGATCGAGCCATGGGTTTCCAATCCTAACAGCATTCAAACAACCATGTATTCAAAGAGTTGTTTCTTTTAAATTTGTGTCTAGGGTTGAGGAGACGACACAATAGAGTACTTGTTGTACAAACATGGACCTGAGTTTAGAGCTCCAGTACCCACGTAAACTCTGGGTGCATAGATAATGCTCCTTTATACTGGAGCATCAGAGGCAGGATCCCTGGAGTTTACCGGCAAACAGTCTATCCAGATTGTTGAACTCCAGGTTAAGTGAGAGACTGTCTTGAAAAATATGGCAAAGAAGAACTGAGAAAGACACCTCATGCCAACTTCAGGTCTCCATATATAAGCATATCTGTACACACATGAACACGTATGTATACATCACAAACAGGATTGCGTCTGTGTTAAACATGCAGAGACTTCTTCCTTGTCAGTTCCCATTAACAATAAACTATAACTACGTTCACAGAACTTACGTTGCGGTAGGTATTGTAAGTAATCTAGATATGGTTTAATGTACGTCATCTTTAGATGCGCATAGGTTATACACAAACACTGAAGCATTTTCTGTTACAGTTGAGGGTTTGAGTACCTGTGGGGGGTCCTGGAGCCAACTCCCTGAGGCTGGAAAGGATGCCTTTACAGTCTTTTGAGTCCCCTCCTTGGTGAGAGGCCCCTGGAGAATGAAGTCCATCTTCTCAAACTAAAAATGATATTCTGTCGAATGATTAAGCTAAGAAACAGCCTGTAACCCCCAAACACTAGACCCCTACAATTGAGACCAATTTTCTTGTAAAGGCAAAAACCTAACTCAGACTTCCAAAAACGTCTTGAACAACAATCTTGTCTTTTGATTTAATTTGAAGAGCCCAAGGTGGTTTGGAGGACAAGTCATTTTATTGAGCATGTTTTAAGCTTGTCTATATAAACTGCCACAGTAGAGACACTCCCGTCTTTAGGCATGAGATAGGGATGAGCCAACGCATTGTTCCCTGTACTTTAGAACTGGCAGCTGCTGTGGTCAAGGAGAGGGCACATGTGTGTATTTCAGCAGGATCCAGTGATCTGGATGCATGGAGGAAGTCTGGGAACCTCGTAAGAAGATTGAAAGCATGTTTCTTGCTCCTTTGAGAGAATGCTCACAGTTCATAAAAGTCTTTTCTTTCCAAAGGAAATGGTATGGTTTTAACTTGTTTTTAGGTGTTTTAGAGTGGGGGAGATCCCCGCCCCCTCCATAAAGAAAATCCAAGTGGAATATAATTGCCTCCTACTCCGTTTGCCGCTATGAAATTGAGAAACTGAATAATAAAAAGGAGTCAGTCACCTGACTTTTCTAACTTATTTAACTGTAAAATCTTATCCCTACTATGGGAATACTTGGATTTACTGATAGTCCCATTTTTTGGCTCCAGACCTTTCCTGTCAAGCAAATAGCTCATCTTGCAACCTGTGGGACAGTGTGTGGTGAACATATATGCACACGGCCCCAAGCAGTAATAGAAAAATCAAGGCATCCGCATGTACTCAGGACAGGCCGGATGGCGGTTTTGATGCATCTTGAAAGGATCCCTGGGAGTGTCCTGTGAGGTGTGAAAGTGAACTGCAATCTGATAGGTAAGAAAAAATACGACAAAGTTAGTTTGGATCTAAGGGTCAAAAATGAATACGTTGTTTCCTTCTTGGTCATGTCTAGGAGTCTGGGGCTGGATCTACTGCCCCCAAAGTGGGTGAACAACCTGTATCTGAGGTAAATTTCAGCTTAATAAAAGGATTGAGGATGTAGGTGGGTTCTTTAGCCTCAAGACTCCATCAGACTTCTTGGTCACAACCCTTCAGGTTTTCCTTGTTTCTCTTTATTGCAAAAATTCCACCCATTATTTTCTATCACCTTGGATTCCTTTTACTTCATTATACTGCCTAAAGACAGTTTTGTGATTATTGTCATGCTATTAAAATGTGATCTGGGCCTAGAGATGGCTCAGCGGGTTATGGCCTTGGCCACTGAGCCTAATGACCTGAGTTTGATCCCTGAGACCCACACAGTAGGAGAGAATGGACTCCCGAAAATGGCCCTCTGATCTCAATACACGTTGTCATGTGCGGACACGCACATGCATACATATGAACATTCAAATACAAAAAAAGTTTAGGACTGTTTTTCAAGATGTGTGTGTGTGTGTGTGTGTGTGTGTGTGTGTGTGTGTGTGTGTGTGTGTACCTGTGTGCATGTACCTGTGATATCCAGAAAAAGACATCAGCATCCCTGGTCCTGCAGTTGTAGGTGATTCTTAGCTACCTGACATGGGTGATGGAAACTGAACTCAGGTCTCCTAGAAGAACAGGAAACACTCTCTTCAGTTCCCCAAAATGTTTTTAAAAGAAAAATAACTTTTTTAAATGTTAATTTCATCCTGGCTTCAATTATTCCTAACCACAATGGATTAGTTATATTTTATAATTCCTATTCATATTGCCTTAGCCTCAAGTCCACAGACCAGTGTATTCCATCATCTTATTTCTGCTCACCTTTGTGTTGGGAGCTTTTTGACTGCCAGCTCTTCTATGGGGCTCATTCATCTACATTCACTTGGGGCCAGATAAATAACTGGTAATGTGAAGGTATGTATAGACAGTTATGTGGGTGGATTACCGATGGGAAATTGCAGTAGATCAAATATATTCCTTTAAAACTATTTTTATTAAACTTACTCTTGGGCAATTTCATACATGTATATAATGCATTCTGATCACACACCCATCCTCCCCACACTCCTTGTCAACCTCCCCTTCTCCTCGTGTCTCTCATTTTCACACTGTTTGTTTTGATTTAGTTTCACGACTCAGCCCTCGATAGGACATCTCTATCACTCCCTCTAAGGCTTAGAGAACGTTGGAGAAGAGAGAACAGAAAAAAACAGAAGAGCGGGGGTGGAGGGAGGGAGATAGCTATAGACTGCTGACTTACCATACAACATGGCTACCGTGCTCATGAATGCACACCTGCTGTAGTTGCCCGCACTGGGCCTGTCCTGGGCCTGGGGATATACACTCAGAGACATTCTTAGCAAATAAGCAAACAAGATCTTTATTGCAAAATTGCTGAAATGAATTTTTAAGCTTATTTGCATTTTAAGTTTCCAAGAGTAAAAAAAAATCATTTTTTCTCCTTAGAAAATCTTTTTTTCTTTTTCCCTTTCTTTTCTCCCTCCTTCCCTTCTCCCTTCTCTTCCTTTCTCAACTTCCTTTGTGCATTTCAATCTGCCTTCTTTATTTCATCGATCATCTATTTGTCTGTCTTTCTATCTATCCATCTATCTGTCTGTCTGTCTGTCTATCTTATGTCATCTATCTATCTATCTATCTATCATCTATCTACCTCTCTATCTATCATCTATCTGTCTATCTACCATCTATCTATCTATCTACATCTATCTTCAATCTATCATCTATCTATCTATCTATTATCTATCAAGCATTTATCTATCTATATCTATCGTCTATCTATCTATCTACCTATCATCTATATCTATCTATCTATCTATCTATCTATCTATCTATCTATCTATCTACCTACCTATCATCTATCTATTGTCTATCAATCTATCTATCTATCATCTATCTATCTATCTATCTATCTATCTATCTATCTATCTAGCATCTATCTTATGTCATCTATCCTGTCTCTATCTGTCATGGATCAGTCTATCAACATTGTGTTTCCTCTGCAAATGGTAGTGAAACAAAAGATGTCTGGATGACTGACTCTGAAAAATATGTCAATTTGGGAAATTATTCTGAACTTAAAAAATATCTGTGCTTCAAGCCAGCATCTTCCATTCTGTCTCCAACCTCAGTGTGGAACGCTTGCCTCTTCCTCTACAGTGAAGTAGTAGCTCGGTGGTCATGGCGTGGGGGGATCACCAGTCTGTTGGGCACAGCACAGCGTCACATCATTTGTCACTGCTGACAGGACAAGTGTGATGGACAAGTAGTAGACTGGAGAAGACAGGTGTTTCTTTCCCCCACCTCGGCCTTCATAGATGTTTGAAGGAAGCTCGTTCGAGGCATCTGAGCTGACTATCAAAGAATCAGTATCCAGACTGGGTAAGTTTGAAGAGTCTCTGGAATAAGGTACCAATCTTGGAGACAGGTGTCCCTTCTGTGTCTCCTCTGTCATTAAAAACAGCCAACTGAGGTAGACCAGGGAGACTCCCGAAGGGCCACATAAGAAGTCAGGCAAATGGGTGTAAGTAGAGGACATGTTTTCCAATTGGCTTGTTTTCTTTTCAGTTGGTGAAACTATAAACACTTAGGGGAGACTGCCCTGAGCTCAACAGGAGGAGACTTGGCAGAATGTTTTAGACCAGAGCACTTCCATGTTAAAAAAAAAAAAACAAAACCGTTTTCTTTGTAATAAATAGTTCAGACTCATAGAATTGCAAGGGAATTACATAGAGCTCTTCCTTGTCCTGTGTCCAGTTTCCCCTCTTAGATATTTTCCATTTTAATATGTCACACCAGTCATTATTAATGGATCAGCACTAATATTTTTAATGATTACTATTAAAGTAGATCTTAAAAAAAATTTTTTTTTTGAG